CTGCTTCTAACTAACGGACTCAAGCAAATAATCAATGGTTTCAAATACAGATACATCTGTTTGCCACTACAATAACACACAACAGCAATATGATGAGGAACCAGTTCATTAAAGTTTTTATTGTAGTTGTAAATACCAGGCGTCCTGTGGAGAAATACTGAGCGGTGATATTTGCCAAGAAAAGACGCTGAAACACACAAACTCCAAAGGTGGAGACGTTGATGAGCAAGTGATCTCAATGAAGTCCTGTGCAAAAAAACCCCATCACAAACAAAAAAGCAGCTTGTAAATGCAGAAGTAGTTTGTCTGCATCCGAACGTCAGGCCTCCTGAGTTCACACGGCAGGGGATGGAGGAACATGCCGTGATTGTGAAGGAGGGCTGGTTTGGGTGTGAAGGCTGTGAACTGTCCTGCTGACCCCTGTGACTGCTTTGATCACTGGAGCCTGGTGACAGTGCACCATTCCACACCAAATTGCCATGTCACAACCCAGCAGACCATCTATCACTCTCGATTCCCCCCAAAGAAACAACATTTATCTGCAGAAGATTTGCAACTAGACAAGGAGGCGGTGGCCACGCGGGGCGACTCTTGGGAGCATGTGTGCATTTGTGACTCACTGAGCTGAAGCGAATATTAATAGAATAATAGAATCCTTATCTGTAGTTATATTGATAACAGATTAATGGTTTAAATACAAGATTGTGATATCTAGTGTTGAAATTGCATGTTGCAGCTGAACACCCTTCACCTCACCATAAAAATGAAACTGCAGTAGCCTTTAATTGTCATAAAAGGTGTTTAGTTTGTCCAGTCTGGACTAATGTTAAAAACATGGCGGCCTCTGTAGAGAGGGTCCCCTTGATGTAAATATAAAGTATTTAAATATAAAGGACCTTTTCTGGGGTAAAGAAAACTACAATTCAGACAATTTAGATGAAATGAACTAGTGAAAACATCATGAGGATTATTCTACATTGTTCCCTTTCACCTAAATCTTACACACAGGACCTTAGAGTTATCAACACAATCTTCAGATCCAGCTTCCCAAATTTTCAAAATAAAAGTTCAGTATAAAGCTTTGCATCACCTACTGATATACATTTTTGGTTTTAATTGCACACATTCATATTTTTATGTCATTCATTCTGATTAACATTAAAGGACATATTCACTGTTTTCATCTTTTTCAAAACAATATTTAAATGAGTTGTTGATCACTGAAATCACTGCTTCAAAGCAAACCCTCTCCATGTAAGTGATGGGGACTAATTCCACTGATAGATGAGTCACATGGTATTGTCTAAGTTTGAACCCGACTAAAAAATGTTGTCAGCTGAATTCGATTTTTCTGGGGTGGAGCCTGACTGAGAGCACGAGGACGCTGCACACCCACCTCCACCCATTGGATGGTAGTAGATGTCAATCATATGGTATCCACTCCCTAATGCAGACAGTGCTTTGTCATCCATTTGATTCTAAATTGGACTGTAGTTTACAAAATGAACATCATGCTCTATTGGAGAAGCTTTGAAACTATAGATTGACCATAAACTTCTTTGGAAAATATTTTCTGAGAGAGAAGCAGAGTCATTTTCTCATAGACTTCTATAGTAACTGACTTCTTTTGAAAGTGTTGTAGTCGCCCTCTGCTGGTCATTCAAGAGAATACAGATTTCAGGCACTTCTGCATTGGCTTCACTTTCCGGACCCGGAGTCTCCATCCATATTTATGTATAGTCTATGGTTTAGGTGGTCTTGTGTTGATCCCTGGTCTTTCTTTGAGCACATACATAATAACCAAAGTAGCATAAAGTACAAGTCAACGGTCAATAAATGAACATCAGACAACAACAAACAGGACAGACTAGCTGTTATCAAATGTTTCTCTGTTTGAGGTCCATGAAATTCAAACTCTGCCTGTTATGTGTCCTTTTACTTTTGTCAAGAGTTTTACACGTCAGCTTCTTGGAAACCATACGAGCAAAGAGTCAGTTTCACTCGAGCATCAGGGGCCAAAACTTAGCATGGCTGTCATCTAAATATTAGAACTTATCAAACTTGCACATGCAGCTTGTGTCTGCAGTGAAGCTCTGTGGACGTCTTTATGTTTCGTGCTGCGTGAGAAAAATGCTTCAGAAAACAAACGTCTCGCAGCCCGGAGCAGTGGAAAATGTTTTTATTTCTGTGTTTATGTGACGGCCTAATTTAAACCAACACAGATCTCGTTGGTACAAATTGCCTGTTAATTTGCTTGTGTGCAACACAGATGTGTGATTTCATTGTCCAGTAAATTTGCCCTCAAGAATCCCTCTTAAATTAAAAAAATATATATAAAAAAGTTTAATTCCACTTGGAATATAGTGAATTTGTTTTCTTCAGCGTGTGTGAATAAATCTATAATTTAGAGAGTTCTCTTGCAGGAGTTTAGTGAATTAGCAGGGCGAATAAATCAAAGTTAATCAGGCACCTGAGCAGGTATGATCTCTCACTAGTATTTAATGCTCGACAAGAGAAAGATGGAGGAGAGCAAGCCACACATTTTCAGTGTTTGACTGCAGGGCCCTGGGGAAGAATGTGTCTCGCACCAAAGCGTCACCTCTTAAAGAAAGCATATTACGTTACATACAAACATGTCATTTGTGGGACACTTGGGTGGAAATGTCTCCCTGGGGAGCAATCAGACTGACTCCAGCTTTTTAAAAAGTCTCCTCTCTCTGCCACTCCTCATTTTTCAGACTTGTGGAATTAGTCGAAACCTAAGCTCGCTGTGTTTGCCGTACCCACACAGCTCAGTTACATTGATTAGAAATCAATTAACATTTTCCTGTTGTGAAAGTTTCTCTGTAATACAACTCCAGTGGAGATAAATCAGAGCTCGGAGCAGAGTAAAGTCTGCGCAGTATTTTTTATTTTTATTTTTTGCTTGCTCTGAAGTACTAAGACAATCTAGAATAAAAACTATAGTGATGAATTATAGTTTAGTTCTGTCAGCAGTTCAGATAACACACAATAAACAAAAAAGTAAAACTCAATATATACAATGCAAAAAAACAGGAAGGAGTCAATGTGTTTAAAAAAAATGCACATTACAATTTTAACATAAAGTCAAAATGATATATATATATAGTTTTGTTTTTTGCAATTTTCTTATCAGCTGTAAGTTCAATGTAATATGTTTGGGACTATTTTCAGTGGTGGATTAACACACAATCCTTGTGTTAAGGAAACCTTTATCGTTAAGGTGTTTTTCACATGATTAGTTGGTTTAACTGAGATTGATTTTACTTTCTATTTTCTTTTGCTTAGAAATTAGAACGATGTGGATATTTTGTGGCAGAGGCTTGATATTTCATTATAAGTAATGACTAAAACTAATAACTGAGGAACAATACAAATACAACCAAATGTATAGAACATAGATAGATAGATAGATAGATAGAGTACTTTATTCATCCCCGGAGGGAAATTAAGGTGTCATAGCAGCTTGTGTATCGGAACACAACAAAACACAATGCAATAGAACAAAACAAAACAAAACATTTAGGTAAAAAGAACAAAAACAGAAACACAAGATGAATAGGCAGATGCCTGAAGAAAATATATTTTGGCAATACGATATTAGCCAACAAATAAATTGGTTGGGCTCTTCTAGAAATTTCCCATGGGTGAAGATGGTGACCACAAGGAACAATTAAAAACAATAACGGGTGTAAAATTTAAATTTAAGACTAGCTTTAACTGATCTCACTCTATTTGCAAGCAAAGTAAACTCAATGTGCAACCTCTGTATTTTTTAGACTTTTGGATTTCTGTTTTCAAACCTACAAACCTGACTCCTCCCTCCAAAGTCCAGTGGAATACATTTATAGCATGCAGCACTTTTGAAAATAAAAGTTGAATTGCATCATAACACAAATTTGAGCTCAGTAACATGAAACAGGCATGAGATGTACTTAGTAAAGTAGAGAAAGGCATAAAACATCTAATATACCATCATTTGGGTGCAAAGTCAGACTGTGGGAACATCCAGCCGCCACTGATTAGCTGCACTCAGGAGCTTCATGTTGCCCAAAGACCCGAACCTGGCGCAGGCTGTTTGTTCCAGCTACAGAAAGAGCATCTGCTCAGTGGGGCTGAGGGCGAGTGGATAAGGTTGCAACCTAACATTTACACACTTGGCACTGGCAACAAAGCAGCCATTCCTCTGGCAACCACCGCCGGTCATTAAGCATAATTTGTCTGGTATCCCTGTGTTGAAAACGCACAAAGGAGGGTGAGTAAAGCCAGCGTGAGGTTGTCTTCTGAGCTGTCATGTGGAGGGATGGTGGGGGCCCCATGCCGGGCAGCAGTTGTGGTGGAGGGGGGCAGCCAGCGACAGAGAGGCTGGCTGGGGCAGCTCCCACAGGACTGCTTGGGGACAGCAGCAACCCGAGAGGGACACCACCCACCACACTTCCCCTCCAAATCCTACCTACAGCCACCGCCGCACCCCCCTCCCTCTCTGCTGCCATGCGTCTGACGGTTAAAACAACAGCCCCTGTGGCCAGCCAGGCTCCAGCTACCCTACTGGATTTACGCTTGTTTCTCAGTTCCCACCAGCCTCTGCTGCACCCTCCCCTCTGTCTCCTCCTCCACCAGCCAGGAACCTTCTCCTCTGCTCTTGTAAACAGCTTCTTCAACAACATGATGTACAAACCTAATACACACAGCCATCACAGAACGGTTGCCTGAAGGGGTGAAGTTGCTTTCAGACCTGAAATTTGGGGCCGTATGTGAGAACACAAATTTGTGAGTGAGTTGTTCCGTACATTTTCTGGAAGTTTTCCTGCCAAACCCATATAAATTCACAGGAAGTGAGTGGGCGTGTTGATGATGTCTGTAACGTGACAAAAAGTGAAATAAAACAAAAATAATATAGATATTTTAAGATGTTAAAGAGGAGCCATTCAAGTCAAAGAGGCTAACGAAAGTGTCAACTCCAAAATTACATTTTCCAGACTTTGCCTTGAAGAATGCAGCAGGACAACATTTGGGTCGGACGCGTTGACAACAACCGAAGAATTGAAGCATGCAGGAGGGGGGACTTGACGTAAAAATTGTGCTGTGGACGTCACATGATTGGGGAAGAAGAAGCTACTGACTCAGCCGTAATGTTTGTTTTGGCATTGACATCAGTGCCATATGAATTTAGCTGGACAAAAATCAACTAAAGAGTCAAAAGCCTGGGATTTTTGTATTAATCTAGTTTTGTGTCTGTTGCATGTTCAACTTCGTCAACATGCCCTCTCGCTCGCTGGGAATTTTCAGTCATTGTTTTGCTGTATTTTCACCCACTCTATGTTTTTCACCTACTCTGATATTTCCCATTTTAGTAGAAGGCTATAACGTGTGTGGAGCAACTGACACCTAAAAAAGGGAAGCTGTGAAAATGAAATAAAAATGGATTAACAATATGATTGTGGTGCAAACATCATATCACAGCTGTGTTCTGAAGCATTTTTTTTTTTTTTTTTTTAAAAAGGAAACTTTAAACCAGCAGGGTTTCTGCTCAATAACTGGACATAGAAAGAAAAAAAAAAAAAGAGGGAAAAGAGATAAAAAAAAACAACTATTCTGCCTCCCAGAATCGGTGTGAAATCCTGTCTGTCTCCACGTCTGTTTGAGTTCACAGCAACAACACAGTTGCATGTTGAACCAACACGAGAGGCTGACTGAGGTGTGAATTGAAGGAGGTGTGAGCAGCTTATAGAGCCAATAAAGTGATTATGGTTGCTTCCTATCAAGTCCACAGAGCTGCATGACGCTTCAGTCAAGTAAACAAACTGAAATTCTCCTCACAAACATTCTAATTCTCTGATTTATTCGCTGAGTTTCAATCTGCTCTGTGTCGGGCTGCACATAATAATGATTTATTTTGATGTTATAACTCCTGACACCAAATCAACTAAGGTGATGTCTTCAAATCCCTTATTTGGTCTCTTTTACCGAGCAAAACCCAAAGATGTTTAGGTTACAGGGGTTTATTGTACGGAGGAAAAACAGCGACACGAGAAAGTGGAATCTGCATTTTTTTAAATGAAAGAAACTCAAACAAGCAATCTTAACAAAACAGTCGGTAATTAACTTTTATGGACTGACTATATATCTGCTTTCAGACCTGCACTGAAGTCTGAACACTTTCCTGAATTGGTTCCAGTGAGCCCATGTGAGAACACAGCAACATTGCATGTGATTCAGTGGCGTGTTGATGATGTTTTTAACGCGAGAAGGATGGGAAAGGTGGAAGAATAGAAATATCCCAAGGATGAAAAAGAGGAGCCATACATGTACTAATATTTCAACTTGAGTTTTGGTGATAAGGGCTGATGAAGACATTCTCAAACAAGTTGCAGGGTCTGCACCTCTCATCTCCTGCACTTTCGACCAAGGTGCCACCTGAATGTGGAGGAAATGTTCCCGTTGTTGTGAACGTGTCTGACCTGGACAATCTCCTGCTACCCTCCTGAAAGCTTTTGATTATCTAAAAGTTGATGGTCCTTCACAAACCCATTTTCGAACACCAGCATGGAATCATTCCTGCATTGTAGCTGGACTCACAGTGTCAAGTGACAGAGTCTGTCAGCCATCGCTGATGGACCACTGGCTTGTGACATTGACCGCCTGTTTGTCTAATTCCACTGTTTCACCCCCTGGTTGCTCCTGGACACGCTGAAGCCACGTGGAGGCTCGACGATGGTCTCGCCCCAATTTGCTGCTGCCGGAGCTGTGGAGGTGAACTGGGAAGCGCCTGGGTGGCAGGGCAGCACACAGGGCCTCCCTGGCTGGCGCCTGTAATTTTACCTTCCCATTCATCAGCCAGAGATATTAATAATAACAGCACATCTGGATTCACTTTACTGTCTCGTGTTAACCCTTTCCACTGCAGCGCTGACTGCTGCTGCAGCGGCGAGCCAGTCTCAATCCCTAAACCCCCTCCCCCTCTCGACTCAAATCCCATTGCTCTTGCCGTCAGTCTTCATTACTCCGTCTCATCTCGTGCTGCGGTGGGGTTTTTTTTTTCAGGCGCGCAGAGAGCGCACCTGAAAAACTTCTTGAGCGCTCAATCTGACGCTTTGGGGCATTTCGAGTGTTTTTCAGGAGTTTAAGATTATGTAGGTATATAAATTTATATCATAGCTATGTTTTGTACTTCAGCCATTATTACCATCTTAACAAATATGCCGATAAAATCAGTCGATATGAGCCTTTCCCAGGCATCAGTATCTGTGTTTGCTGATATGAAAAGTTTGATTTACAGGATAAATAATGCAGAAAA